GCAAACAGCTGGCGCACTACAGGGCCTGTAGTACAGGCACATCCACACACACATATATGTATATATATTAAGCAAAGAAAACTTAATATTCTATTAAAACGTATTTTGTTTAAAATATTTACATTTTTATTTACATATGAATCATGAATAATTCATGAATCAGATCAGTTATAGACAGTAGTCTAGTTCTAAGTGGGATGATGTAATTTTCTTTTTTTTTTGGAAGCATACATAGCCTAATGCAGGGGTCTCAACGTTTTCCAGGCCAAGGACCCAAACTGAGGGTGAGATGGAGCGGGGACCCCTAATTATACATATATAGTATTGTAAATTGTGTTCTATCAAACCGGTCCTATAGTCACTCTATTACAGATGGTGTAATGTAACGAAAGTAATTTCTCCCTGGGATTATTAAAGTATTTCTGATTCTGATTCCTGGTTGATGGGACAGGTGTTGTGAATGAAATGGTGCTTGAAAGAGCTCCTGTGTGTCTCTGAATGTGTGCATTGATGCCTGAAGGACATCTTCTGCCTCCATTTATCTGTTTAGTGGAAAAATTTGCAGGGGGGAATATAAAAAAAAAACGAGTGTAATCAACCAAAACTTTCGCAACCCCCATGCTGTACCTATGCGGACCCCCTATGGGTCACGGACCCCCTGTTGTTACATGTCAGGTACGCTCGTCAATAACCAAGGCATCTTACAGTAGAACTGCAGTCAGTCCCTGGACTGGCAATGGCTATCACTGCCCCTACATAGTAAGGGACTAATTTCACTGGGATCAGCTTCATAGTCATGATAGGACACTTCTTTGGTTTTATTTATTTTGCTCAGGCTACACGTAAGCCCACAGCCCATCAAATGTTGAAAGGGCAATATTGCCATATATAGTAGAAATTTTACACATTCAGTAATAAAATGTCACAGGTAATGGTATGGGGGAGGATCATTTAAGAAGGGGGAGGATTTTAAAGATTTGTTTAAGAAGGGTGATGCCATCCCCCCCTCAACTCGAGATTAGATTATATTTTTATGTTATTTTTTAGCAGTAGGGGTTGTTATTATGTGAGAGAAAATTGGATCAAAAATAATCAAAGAAAACTCTGCCATCAATTAACAGATCATCATGTTGTAGTGAAACACAGCGGTGGTCTAGATTAGTTTTCAATGCAAATATACTTATATTTTAAAAAACATAAAGGATTTTATCTTGTATTTTGATTTTCACATAATCATGTTTCGTGAGTGGATCGTTTTGGGTTGTGATTATTTCTTTTCAGTTCCGTTCCATACTTGGTAATCTGTCTTCTATTTTTTTTCTGTCCTATTTAGATCCCTGTGTGTTCCTCTCTATCTTATCTAGTCAGTTTCTTTCAGCTCATTAGTTATGCTGCATTGAAATGCTATTGTTCTCACCTGTTTTACCGACCACCTGCCCAACAGTTATCCTCTTAAACATCAACTTGCTGTTGTTTTTCCTTCTCAGATGCTCTTCTGTTCCTCTTGTGCATCTTTGTAGTTTTTTGTTGATTTATCCAATATGACCTTGGGGTTCTCTTTTCTCTTCATGGGACAAACTCCGACTCAAATCACTACATTCACCTTATCTACAATCCATATACATCTTGGCAATAAAATACACCTTAAGTTAGAATAAAACAACCAACAACCAAAGATTTATTTATTGGTGAAACTTACATTAGTAAGTTTCACCAATAAAAAAATATTATAACATTTTTAGACATTAAAGAAATATAGGGAATAAACCATTTTGCATATTTTGCTTGCCCTATAAGACCTTTCACATGATTGACCAGTCTTACACAAATGTAAACATGAGGGAGATAGAACAACTGCCTGCCAGGTTAACACACTATTAATTTTTTTTATTTAATTAAATTAAACCCAATTTAATCCAATTAAACTCTGTTTATTTACATAGTGGCAATTCACATCACATGTCATTTTAAGGTCCTTTGCAGAGACAATTCAATTAAATTGTCCGGTCAGATTAATTCAAAGCTTCTATCAAAAGGGCTGGTTATTCTACAGCAGTGTGTCGCTGTGAGCTTGTCGCAGGTATAATGCAGACATTTTTGAATTATGCTCAATTTTGAAGTGTGGTCTGCTCTATGTTATTCAACCCCACAACGCAAGAGGGACAATCACGAACTAGCTGTGGGTCTAGATATGGCGTTGAGGAAGTGGGGGAAAGTTTGGGCGACAACGGAGGGACATGAGGGCAAAATCATCGCCACACCTACGCAGACGACCTAGTTCTGAAGTATAAATCAGCTTTAAGGAAGACAAGTAATGGACTTGCAGGACACACTCCTTCTGGGTGAGCATGTAGAAACAGTAGATATTTGCTCTCATTTTGTCAGACTATACAGCATCCCTCACATCAAGCATGCATGCAGCGACAGTGTTAAGGAAAACCTCTCCTTTAACAGAAAGAATCCTGCAGCAGAACCAGGCTCAGTGTGAGCAAATTTCTGCCAAGGAGACAGAAACAGACATACAGAACAAAGAGAATAGAGACCAAATTAGGCAGAATGATGAAAAGTGGTCCCTATGTACCCCTGCAATCTAAGTCTATAGCAGCATAACTATATAGGTAGCTCAAGATAACCTGATCCACTCTAACTGTCTGCTATTTATGTGCATTTAAATTAGGATGCATATTTTTTATTGTCTGCAAAGTTAATCTATCCATGTAATTTGTTGTCTTATTCTATCCTCTATGCCAATGGTTCCCAAACAGTGTGCCATGGCACGCTGGTGTTCCGTGAGGCAAGTCCAATTGTGCCATGGGATTTGGAGTTAAACAGCAAGCTTCAGGGTAGGAATGAAAACATTTTATCATCCACAGACAAGAGTCAGGGGTTTATGGCCAAACCAACTTTGTGGCGCAAGGCTTTGGAACGGAGCTCCATGGACATTTTCCTGCTGGAATCAGCTGCGACACATGCAGCTACAGAGTGCGATATATGCCAGCTACCTTCAAAACTTCAAAGGGAGGTTTAAGCACTATTTTCCACATTTGTGCATCAGAATACCCAAACATCTCCCACCACGCTATTATCCAACTTTTGCATTTTCCTACGTCCTACCTCCTACCTCCGTGAACTGGCATGCTCCACTATTGTTAAAAACAAGACCATGTCATGGCTGTCTGTTGAGCAGGACTTGAGAGGCGCTCTGTCCTCAGTGCCACCAAGGATTAAACACACCGACAGCCACAGGGGTCCCACTAATTTGTTAGTAGGTGTAATATTTACAAAAGCACATATATGAGTTATTCTAAATGTTAGAGTTATAATGTATGGGTCAGATTCAGGACCATGAACATTGCAGATTTCTCATTGACATTTCCATTCTAAATTTCTGTTTCGTTTCTCTCACCTGTCTGGTTTAAATGAGTCTGTTTGATTAAGCCCAATTTTATCAAGTTTAGATTTTTCTTTAGAATATGTTGTTAACAAATATTTCATGAGTAATATAGTTGTGTTTGGGACTCTTTCTGATCTGTTTGCCCGATCTGTCTTCAGCTCCTGCTGGTTTATCGAACCTGGAACTGATTCCTGACACTGTCCTGGATTTCCCTTCAGTACTTCTTTGGATCTCTGATCTTCTGGCCCAGACTCATGAGCAGCTCCTCGACACCAGCTTTGGCTTCATCCTGTGGATTATCCTGTCTACCTTCGTCTGCTCTGATCTGATCTTCTGCCTGTTCTCCAACCTTTGGAACTTCAACGTCTGGGACTCTCTGGGCATCCGCCTCGATGAATGAGACTGGAACCAGAATGGAATCTCGCTGAAATGGAATCACGGGCTGAACTTCAATACCAGGTTAGTGACTCACACGTTCATAATCATCCTCCGCAGGTTTGACGTGGTCACCAACCTGTGTTCTCTTCCTGCAGGGGTTCCTGTCTTTGCACCCTCGCTGTTCACTGCAGATACATTACTCTTAATAAACACAATATCAAACTGTCTATCTGCTTTGAAAACTGGGTCCTCTTTTCTGAACCTTAACAGTCACATTTTATTTGGCATCAGTAAATAATTATGAACTTTACAGATCATTTGAGTTATAACACATGTTGTAGGCTATTTTGCACAAAGGCGTGCCATGAAATTTTTGTCATATGGTGTGCCTTAGGTAGAAATAGTTTGGGAACCACTTCTCTATGCAGTGCTGTCTTTTTAATTTCCATTCCCAGCTCTACCTCCTACACCAAAATATGACAGCATGTATTTTGTGGCTTGTGTTTTCCCAGCCAAATGCAGAGATGCGCTGGCTGAACCTACGCAAAATTTGGACTGTAAAAAACAAACAAGGGTTAGATGGAAACAAAATAATGATTGTCCTCCAAAGTAATTCTTTATAGTTTAAGTTGAGCAATTGCTAAAGAGGGAACAAAATCCAGCACCGTCTACATATCATATAGATGATAAGATATAATTTTTGATTGCCAAACAGCACCTTTCTGTAGATGTAAACTCGTGTGAAAAAAATTGTGGGAGCCTATCAGTCCTTTAGCTGTTAGCTCATATTCGTTTTGTTGACACATGTAAATTAATGAAGGCTAAATTATTGATAACATCTTTAGCAGGTTTGGTTTGTTTCTCTCAGCAAGGTATGAGAGAGCTCTTTTATTCCATAGCTATTGTAGGATTTTAACACATTTGAATACTTCTTTTTAGATTTTATAAGGGCAGCGCTGTTATGATTATATGATAGGAGTGTACATGTAAATAAGATGAATGCAAATAAAAATTATAGACACTGACATTTATTTAAAAAAGAATAGTCTAATAAAGTTTCATAAGGTACAATGATGAAGTGGAGCTTTGTGAAGCTCGTTGAAGCACCTAGACATCAGTTCTTGGTGCTATATTATTAAACAGGATGCGTAAAATAAAATAAAAAAGAAATACTGATCTTGTTATATATATATATATATATATATGACATTTTTACTATACATATGTAAAGTGCTAATTTTCTAAAATCTTGATGCTTGCCTATCAAAATGAAAATGAAATTTAAGTTATGACATTTCTACTTTCTGTCACAAAAAATGAGGTATTACAATAAAGAAAAAGGACTGTGAGATATGAGGAAAGAAGAGTTATAACGAGACTGTAACAGCTGTAGCGATGACTGAAGATGAGGAAAACTATCTTAGCATAAGTGGAATTGATGCAGAAAAGGAAGCTACAAAGTCAGGGAATCCAGCCTATGCAACTGCACCTCCTGATATAGTTATTTTCTGTATAAATTCCACTGCAGAAATATTGAATAGAATTTAATAGAACAGAATCGAATAGAATAATCTATACAGGGTACAACAAAACTGAAATACAACTTCCTTTGGTGTACTTTGCAAACAGCATGAAAAGCAATAGTATAAGATAACAACAATGTAAACACTCATAAAAGTGACAGCTAAAATCATTCCATTATGATCATTTAGGTGTTTTTTTAATTGTTCTCTTTATTAATTTCTCTCTTATTTTGTAGAACATCTTTCTCAGTGAGCTTATACTTAAAATTGTCTTTCTTCCTTTGGAGAAAAGATGACAAAATAAAAATTTCAAAGGGTTTCTTTTATGTTTTGTTAACTCCTTGAGAGATTGAGAATTCCAGCCTGTCTCCTTTCTCTCTCATGTGAAATTTTCTAGCTCTGTCACTGGCTAAATAGGATCATTTTAGCAGCCTATAATTGCACATGCTTAAAATAGATGCACGATATACGCTAACATTTACTTTTACTGCGCACACAGTAAACATTGCATTAAGCAGTGAAGGGCACACAGTTGTCTTTAAAAGCTTAGAGATGATGGCAGACGTAGCTCTACATGTTAAGAAACTGCTTAGAAAGTTGGCGATGCCCATCATTTATTTTCTTAGTCCCACTAGCTACTCTGACCTGCGGCAAGCCGGTGCAGGTTGGACACACCCAACGCTCCTCTGCTGTTCCAGCTGGCTTTAAGGCTAAGGAAGGGAGGCAGTGTAGATTGGAAATTAGATTTGAAAAGTATTTGAAAGCCCCTTCTTGTGTCTAATGCAAAATATTAATTAATTAATTAAAAAAATACCCCTTTTTTATCTCTAAGGGATGTTTTTGGAATATATTGGTGAAATGTATGTTCTTATGATGGGAAATAATGGAATATTAATTTAGGGTTTTACGGATCTAATTGAACTGATTGTCAAGTGTTAATGCCTTTTTAATTTGTCTGTGGGTAACAATGAACAACAATAGAATAAAATATGCTGTTTTGAATTTATTATGCAACATTGTTGAGTTAAGCTGCATTATTAACACATCCAAATTAAAATGTTTCCGACTCAGTCCTCTGTTTTTAGAGATGTACGTTGAGGTGAAGCCTTAGCGAATTGGCATTCCTTTAGAAGTTTGTTTAAATACAACACTGCCTGTTGTCTGGAGCTGAGTTCCCTGGGCGTTTCCTTTAGTTATTATGTGAAGGTCAACGCTCAAACCCGAATCAAATCGAGCAGTTTGTCATTGTCTTCTCAGAGCTCAGTAATTGGTTGTATGTGATAAAGTCTGTCTGCATTTCTCCTGGAAGGTCCTTGTTGTTCTAAGACAAGAAGAAGGTCTAGAACAGGGTTGTCATGCACTGGAAGGAGTAATTGCAATGTGCTGGAGGTAAGATGCAGGCATTACATCCTCATGGGACAGTGGTACGAGACGAAGTACAGTAGAGAGGCCTCATCACCGAGATGTGGACACGGCATGTTGGGCATGTCTGTCTCATCCACAGCCACTGCTCCATGCACTGAAATACATCCCAAAACAGACAGTCAGCCACATTTAAATTACCGTACTATTACCTCCAATCTAACAAAGATGTGTTCTAAAGGTTATTCTGCACAATCAGGAATGAACCTGAGTGTAAGTGACATTACTGATATAATTCAAAGTGAGAAATTCAAACACATGATACCAGTGATGGTAGGGTTAGGGTTAGGTTAATCTTAACATCTGGGCTATAATAAAACAAGGTCAGCTTTTAAAAAGTTGCATTGTACAAGAACCTTTATATATTGATCTAGATATAAATATAATCTAAATATAAACACACAACCCAATATTTTATCTTCTTTATACATTTCTTTATAGCTAAAGTTGACAGACAAATTTTACACCACATATTGGAGCTTGCAAAAGTATACAACACTATAGGAACTGTTTCAGAGTAACTTTGGGAGAGCTACAGAGGGTAACGCTCAGGTGGGGGAATATGCTGGAGCGATAAGTTGTTCACACCACAAATCTTGCCTGTAAGAAAAAATGTAAAAAAAAAAAAAAAAACATCTTCGCTTTCATATGTATATTATTTTTTAAAGAATTTGTGTTGGTCTGTAACACAGTTCCCCTCCAAAATATTTATAATTTGGTGTAACATGACAAAATGTTAGGATTAGACAGTATGCATACTTTTGCAAAGAACACTAGAAGCTTAATGTTGAGAAAAATCACTTTTAATTACATTTAATTACATACAGTCATAAAAGAAGTTATAGTCTTTGGACCAGAGTCTGACAAAGTACCTGATTAGTCAGTTACAGTTTTTGGATGGGATTAAATTTATCTCAGATAATAAAGTAAAAATCCTTAGTGTTATTTTTGATCAGGTCCTGTCATTTACATCCCACATGAGGTTTCTAGAATTCCCTTCTTTGATCTGTGAATTGTGATTGTAATTCTTTACTATCAGGAAGTCCACAAAATGTAGTTAAAAGCCTTCAGCTGATCTAAAATGCTGCAGCCAGAGTTCTAACGAAAATTAAAAAGAAAGATCATATCTCTCCTATCCTGACTTCTCTTCTTTGGCTTCCTGTTAAATGCAGAATAGAATTTAAAATCCTCTTTCTCACATATAAAGCCTTAAATGGCCAAGCTCCATCTGATATCAGAGATCTGATTGTTCCTTCTGTACCTAATCAAGCACTTCGCTCTCAATCTGCAGGTTTACTAGTGGTTCCTAGAATTTCTAAAAGTAGAATGGGAGGCAGATCTTTTAGTTATCAGGCTCCTCTCCTGTGGAACCAACTACCAGTTTTAGTCCGTGAGGCAGACACCCTGTCTACTTTTAAGGCTAGGCTTAAAACTTTCCTTTTTGATAAAGCTTATAGTTAGAGTGGCTCAGGTTATCCCGAGCTATCTCTATAGTTATACTGCTATAGGCTTAGACTTCTGGAGGACATAGGGACCCCCATTTCATCATTCTATCTCTATTCTCCCACTCTGCATTTGTTAGTTCAACCTCTAACGTTCTGCTCTCTCTGCTATTTCTCATAGTAGCTTCATCTGGTTTGTTCTTGTTTGGCTGTGACTCCATCCTGGAGAGAAATATCAGCTGTGCTGCTGCTACCATCAACACCTTTGTTTATACATGGTCGAGATAAGCCTGTTATACAGTGTAGTCCTGTTTCTCTGACTATGACTGGCTCGATGTGCTCCCTTTCATCCTCTGAAATTGGAGGTGGCTGGACGGTGCCGCCTGTGAATCTGGTTGACAGTTGCCTTTTATATCTGTGCTTCTTTCTGTATCTCTGCTTCTGTCTCCTTAAACCCCAGTCAGCCTCAGCAGATTGCCGCTCACAGTGAGTCTGGTTTAGCTGGAGGTCTCCTCATGTTAAAAGGGAGCTTTTCCTCTCTACTGTCGCTACAAGCATGCTTGGCTTGAGGGACTGCCTTTGAGTCAATGAGTTGATGCAATCAAATGCTTTTTATTAGAAATAAAACTTCGAATCAGTTTGACCGTATGGTCTGGTTGAATTGTCTCTATAAAGTGCATTGAGATTACATGTGTCCTGAAATGACCCGTTACAAATAAACTGAAGTGAATAAAAACTAGGTCATATTCTGATCATCAAAAACCCTTTATGAAAAATTCAAATATTTAAAATTCTATCTTTTTAGTCTTTCACTATGGGGAGCAAAACACCAAAATCTGAGCAAACCAAGAGAACTTACAGGGCAGTTTTCAGGAAACCACACTGTTGTTTATGACAAAGGAGGAATCTTGATGTTCGGAGAAAACATTTAAAATAGTTTGTTTAAAGATGGCACCCTTGTACTGAGAGGTCTCAGCGATGTCTTCGCAAGGAAAGCTGACGCTGTGGGGTGTGCAGATCCCTTGTTGGGAAAATGGATCCATCTGCAGAGTTTCGTCGCTCATCCGAGAGCCTCCTGAACATACAAGCTGCGGTGTCGCTTCTTCTGCGTGGCACACTCTGCTCTAACATCCGGGTTTCCTTAGGCACCAACCAAAAGGAGGCATCAGATTTAGCTGAGGTTGAGGGTCAACAGATTGTGAAGACTCTCCATGCATTTCTAGTCATTGCAGGTCTTTGTTCTTTGCTACAGGGTTGTTGTTTTCATACCAGGCCCCATCATGCATGTGCAGGAATTAGATGACTCCTTGTACCATAGATCTGATTTCTGGCATGCTGGGAATGTAATGTGAATGCACCACAGACAGGAAGCATGCACTAAAGATCTAAACCAAATCAGCTTCCTACCTCTTTGTGGAAGCGATGTGTGCACTGTAGTTCTTGAAGTCTCTCTCCACTTTTACACAGATCTTCATGACAATTCAGGAACACCTTGTCTTTATCGCTCTACAAAACGTAGAGAAAAAGACGATTTTCAGTCTCAATATCAACATTATTTTGTTTCTCTCTCTGTCATAAAGCTGTCAAATTAGTCAATCATTCAGTTAGAATGTTGCTGTTCTGTTGTGTTTTCTTTTGGATCGTTTTACATGATCTTTTCTTATTAAAATACATAGCCTCAATGTGTGCATATGTGACTCCAAAAACCTTATATATAGATAATTTATATATAAATGATCAATATTAGCTTACGAGCTGTACCATGTGTACCTCATAATACTAAATACAGTGGCTTTAAACTGTTAACCGATAATATCATGGATTTCTCAGTCCTCCGAGCCCAATATTTTAAAATTCCTACAGCAAACTTCAGCATCATTAAGCAAATACAAGGAGGATGTTACTGATGTACGGGCAAACTATAATGAGATATGTAAGGGGTTCAATCTGCAAGGAAAGGCTGCATTTTAGTGCACAAGAGAGGGTAAGAAATTCATGACCCTTAGAAGTTTTACATTTTGACACTTTGCAAAAAAGTATATGTACTTGCTTTGGGTTTTATCTGATATAATAATATTAAACAGTCAGAGACTTTAGAGGGAAAGCAAGGGGTTTTCTTTAGGGGGATATCTCTCTCAGCTTTCAACATCATGGATCAAAATGAACTTTCATTATACTGTATCTATTGGAAACCATTCCATTATAACCCTTCCTTTAGGTTTTGGGTTGTTGTATTGCCATAAGGTGAACCTCTGTCCCCGTTTCAAGCACTCAGCAGACTCTAAAAGGTTTACTTCTCTAAATATCATATAATAGGCTCCCTCAATCCTCCAAATAACTCTGACCAGCTTCCATGTCCATGCTTAAGAAAAACACGACAGCTGGTACCCCATGTATAGAGATTTTTAGGGCAAAAACAACTGATAAATGCTTTCTCTTGCAACTCTTCCACAAAATCCAGGCGTATGGAGTTTACTACTATTATTTCCTCTTTTATAAGGAATCTATATTTATCCTTCAGTGTTACATTGATGTCCAGATCACTAACCTATTCTCTCCTTTCTTTATAGGTCTGGGTAAGGTAGATTGCCATTTCTTATTATGTTTACAGCTGTGCTTTGCTGGAATGATAGCTCAAAAAGAAGCTCAAATGTTTATAACTTTTTACCAGATTTTTCTACTCTATTTCTATGTCATAAAGATGTTTGTTCATTAATATCGTTTAAGATTTGTTCTGAAATCAAATTACACATGATAAGGTCACTTCTGAGAACTGGTTGCAGAGAATATCTTGGGAAGTATTGGAGTAAAGTAGCTAAACACAAAAGCCCATCTTCCTTTTTTAACAGTAAATCTTTTTGAAAGTTGTGTATTATTCTCCAAAAACTATATATCCATTTGCAATGCCTTCAAAGGTATTGCACTGACCACTGACCAAACATTGAAATCCACCTAACGTCGTATAGGGGAATCGCAAGGAAAGCTTCACTATGCCCTCAGTCCAGTAGGTGGCACTATTAAAGAACCAAAACATCAAACAACCACAGTTGGAGCAACAAAGTGTGTCCTTTTATACCATTTGGTGGGAGCAAAGTGTGGAATCGAGTCCTGCCGTCAATGTGAAGTGACACAGGGAAATTACTTTTAGCCCTATAGTGTGAAATGCCACTAGGTATGAGGTTAAGAGGGGACTAATGTCGAAGATCTGTATCTGTGCTACCATCTTCTAGAAAGAACACTCTGGAACAGTCTTCCAACCAGACAACCCAATAAAAGTCTATGGATAGCCAAGAGTTCTGACCTCCATCAACATGTGGAGGATCAGCTCAGACCACTTTCCCCACACAGAATGAGACACAACACCTCTGAAGGGGCTTCGTACAAGCATTACAACATGTACCCAGGGCCCTATGGGACCAAAAGGGTTTGCACATTTATGTTTTTATTACATTTGCCATCATAATCACAGCAGTGTCTTCAAATTAAACCTCTAGTTGTGATATTTTTCTAGCCTGGGTGCCATTCCGAACTTAGTCCCGCCCACAAGGTTTGAGGTCGGGAAGTTCGGTCTGGCTCTGCTCCATAGTAGCGCGAGTATGGTCGCCCACTCTCTGGCGATCCAATCAAATTGTCAGGGCGGGCTTTATACGATGATGGACAGATGATCAACAGTAACGTAATCAACCACGTGACCAAAGCGCGCTTGGGCGACAACAACAATGGCTGCCGCTGGAGAGTTGAGGTGAGTAGATTCTGCTATTAGGTCTGTTCTAGAAGATATCGACAGCAAATAGATTTTAAAAGAGTAAAAGAGAAACGCGATCACGGCTCATCTTCTTATTCTAGGCGCGCAACTGCACGCTTTGATTTTTGTTGACAACAACTATGCCTGGCTTAACATACGTCACGCACTCCGTTGCTCTTATTGGTTGTAGGTCTATCCAATTGAGTGCAGAGGCATTTTTTTTCCTGGTCCGTTCAAAACACGCCCCATAATCACAGCTCTGTGGAGCAGTATCAGACTCATATTCTGACTAGAATTGAGTAGGACTACGTCAGGCTAATATTTTTCCTCCTTTTGACCTCAGCTTAACTTTCTTCACTAATAAGTGAACTTTCAAAGGGTTGATGAATGAAACCTCCTATTGGTTTGACATGTTTTAATAAAATAATACAATGCAGAATACAGTTGATGAATGAATTATTTGGCTTTTAGCGTTTTTAGCAGCATCCAATTTTTTTTTCAAATGGTTTTTAAAAGATAACGCTGAAAGATTTTGCCACTTTTGGCTCTGCAGACGGAAACTTCTCTGTTATGTCATACAGATTTTACATCTCTGTTTGGCTGCGTGAACATCTCAGGCATCCCACCTTAATGCCGTCTAAGTTTTCCTTAATTCCTACAGGCTTTACCTAAAGCAACTAAGCAAGAAGTTGAATAATGATCTATAAAAAAATCCAAACTAAGTGGTAAAAAAAACTCACCAGTGACATGGTTCTCTTTTCATTGAGGCACAGCCTTCTCTGGAAGGACTCTGTGATCTCTGGGATGGGTGTGATGCGGCTCTCTGGGATAGCCGTGTTGGGCCGGCTTTCATCCGAGGAGATCCTATGTACCCTCTGATGGGGCCTTACCTCCCCCTTCTCCTCCCTCCTTTTAGGAATGGCCGCCTTGGACGCTGTGTGGATCCTGTTCAGCTTCATGGCATCTAACTGTGTCTGTACATAGCAGAGAAACAAGAAAATTGGAGTCATTGTAGGGTTTTTATTCTTTCTACTGCAAATGCAGAGAGCAATGAGAAGGTGGAACAGAATAAAGGGGATAATCACACTACAACCTTCATCCTTAGGTAACACCAACTAAATATAGCTTACCTCTTGACTCAGTTTGGCCAATTAATTTAATTAGCTGTAATCTGAAAAAGAAAGTACTTCTTAAAGTGATGTAAGGGGAATCTTCTGTCTGAGAATGTTTGTCTTACATCATAAGCATTTAACAGCACCAGTCTTTTTCTACTATGTTATGTAAGAGCAGGAATTCTGTAATACATTTAAATACAGAGGTGACAAAAGTATTCAAAATCTTTAGCTTAGTCAAAGTACAAATAGGTGTGCAAAAAAAAAGTGAAAGAACCTATTAAACTTGTTTGCTTGAGTTACAGTTAAAACATTGCAGATTCTACATTATACTTAAGTTTAAGTAAAATTACGTTTTTATTTTTTTAACAGTGTCCTGTCTGGCAATGTGGCAATAAAAATAATTGTCTTGATACCAAAAAGGGACCAACAGATTTAGCTTTCACAAGTGGAACAGTATGGCTAACGCCAAAGAGTTCCGCTTGATTTATAAGTATCAATAGCTTTATTATAATTCATGCAGGGAGTTTTACAGAATATATGGACACTGCAATGGGAAAGTAGAACAGGAAAGGAAAAACAGGAAAAAAGGAGAAAGGATGAAAGAAAGAGGAGATAAAAGGGAGACAATGATAAAAAATCTTCAGTCTGCTTGATCATCTGCAAAGAGATGTAAAAAAGAAAAGCACAACCAACAGATATAGTATAAGAGACACAATAAAGTAGCACCTTGATTCTATCGCTGAAGTATATGTAGTATTATTTAAGCTGACATGTTTACTGTGGTAGCTGAAAATAAGAATATGGGCTTTCTGTATGGAAATGAATCTCTAAGTACCTGGAACCAAGCACCTGAAGTTGAGGGAGTGCACTTGTGCATGTAAAGTTTATCCAAAGGGAAAATGCTCAATAGTGGTTGTGAAGAGCCCAAGACCCCCCCCCCCCCCAGAGCACCGAGGCAATTGCCGGGTGACCCAAAACCCCAGATGCCCAGAGGGAACCCCAGAGTAAGGGCGTCCAAAATGGGAGCCAACCCAGGAAATCTGCCCCCTACCAGACATCGCAATGCCGAACCCCCCAGGATCCACCCCGAAGTGGAACAGGCCATGGTCCCAAGGCACCCGAGGCCCCAGGGGCGACCCGCCCCCTGGCAGGAGCCCTGACCAGGCCCCGAGGGACAAACCCCCGCGAAGCAGCGGCCAGTAATGAGCACCACTAATGCGAAGGCGAGCCAAAGTGCCGGCAAGTGGAGAGGGCCAGGACAGGGGGAATGGGCTCCACACTTAGCGGAGACTTGAGATGTTCTTGGGAGGGGGATCAGTTCAGACTGGAACCTGACAAGTAAACAGCAGAGAAAGAAAGAAAAAAACATACATAGTCTCAATCACACCTTCCCACCCTAGTGCCCCCACTCGCAACACACAGACTCTTCAAAAAAATAAAATATAAACAGCATACATACATTTGCACACAACACTCATATCCAATAATCCCAGGACCGAGGACCCTGTGCCGGGATGACCGGATAACCCAATAGGTGAACCCTGGGTTCACCTACTAGGTCAATGGCTTTGTTTTTGCCTTAAATAATACAGAATTCTTTTATAAACTTTTTTCTTCCTTTAACAAAACAAAAAATAAGTTGGATGCACAGGAAAGTTATTATTCTCTTATTTTACCACTTTGTTGGTTGACAAAAAAAATAATGACTCAGTCTGTTTTATTCTATTCTAAAATAAAATTTCAGATAGGATAATATAGATTCGAAGTGAACAAAAGTAGTTGATATTTTTTGCTTTCACAGCATTAAAGTTGAATATGGCTTTAAATTTGAAACAGATCATGATAAATACGAGGTGTTATAAACATGCATAGAAGTAATGAGACAGATTTGAAAAAGGATTAGAAAGTACTGATATCTTTGCTCAAATTTAGGTTAGTAAAAGTAAAATGTAAAAGTAAAAATGCTTCTTGAGTATAGTAACAAAAACGTGCATTTCATTTCACTACACAATAATGTTTGAGTGTTTTCAATATAAGTGTTCCATGTACCAATCTTTGCTTTGTTGACAGGTTATCGATACATGTCAAAGAACTACAGTCTATGAATTCATAACCAGAGAGATAAAATATTGCATTGCTAATGCCATACCATGTTGTAGAGTCCTCTTCTAAATTTGTATTCATGTCTATCTAAATGTGAGCTTCTACATTGTCAGATAATCCATGCGTAGAAACAATACAGAAGCTTTAACTCTTGCAAGAGAAATATTTGATTAAAAAACATAATAAAAAAAAGTATGAATAACCATATATTTTTGAAATATTGTTTGCTCTGCAGAGTGTCAGGATTAATCGACTGCAGGAAATAGAAGGAAGGCCCAGATGAATGCTTATTTTGTTTTTTTTGTTTTTTTATTATTTGCTGAACTACCTTTGGGTTTGCTTGAAGCTTAAACAGAGCGAGGCGTTTGCTCTTATTTTAGCCTTTATGGAGCCATGATCTCCTTATACTGAGCTGGGTTTAAGATTATAAGGTTGTTATTCTCTGTCCCCACCTGCTTTTGGCTATGGTTATGTGAGATCACCAGCTCTTTTTTAATGAAAAGCTCCTCAAATAAAGATAATTTCTGTGAATAATTCCATACTGGAAAGTCTAAAAGTTTGAACTGTAAAAGAATGTTTAGATATACAGTGTATTGGACATTTAGAATATACATGCATTTAGAACTGTTTAAAACCTTCACCAAAAGTCCTCTTTAATAAAATTAGGGACATTAAATCCCATGAGATATATGGGATCAGAAGGTCATCGGTTAATAGGCTAGAGGTCAGACATAGACAATATTTCCTTTATCAGTTTTGACAAAAAAAAATGGCAGATCAAATGATGAAGCATATTCAAATATTTTCTTCCTATATAAGAAATGCATTAGAACTACGAACCAAACCCATTTTTAGAGTAGCAGCTAATCCCATGTCTTCCAAGGAACTCTGTTTGGTTTTAAAAACCGATATGTCATGTAAAAAATACTGTCAAAATTAATTGTCTCTATTCAAAATGACCCGTATCAAGAATGAAAAAGACCTGCGGCATGCTTTATTTCTATCCTTTATGTGTTAAACTGTTAAAGGATTAAATAACTGTAATCAGTCAAAGCCCATATGACCTCATCCAACCTTAAAATTAAATTGGAAATCATTATCAGCTATAATACAGGGTCATCTCATTCTCATACATTTATCTATACTGCATTTCACTTTTACAATTCTCAGTATTTAACATGGGTGGTTATAGATATGGGCCAACAGGGCTCAGTGCACCTTTAGACCTGGTCCTGACCCCTGTTATAACTAACTATACTAAAGACATAGTACTTTTAATATAACATAATACTAAATTTATTATAAATGTACGAGGGTGTGCACTAGAAGAGAAACTGCATTTTTTTGGTGTGAATTGTTTTAATTTTACAATGATGTAAAAATTGAATTGTCGCACTTTTAGCTTTGGTCATATTGAGGTAGAGTTATATTTTTCTGCTATATCTAAGGATTGCACGGTAAAAAATTGCTCTTTGGTTAACTTGATATTTCAAACGATGAACTATTGCCCTGTTTTTTGTTTAATTGTTTTGCTCGGTGGCCCCATGGGAAAAAATGGCTCCACCCTCATCCGCCTGGTGAACTTGGTCTAGAACCACCACTGGTATTTAATTTCAACCAGTTTATTTATGTATTTATTAATTTTTTACTATTTATGGTTCAGGTTTAGCTAAGGAAAAGTTGCTTTAAATTCTGTGGAAAACAGAGCTACATTAGCCTACATCATCAGGCTGGATGGCAACTGGAACGAGGCGACAGCATCACACAGTCCTATATTTTGAGTCAATGTGAATAAGAGCAGAGAAGTTAAATAGAAACTTTCACACTAATATATGCCCATTATTTACATATGTTACTGAAATGTGCTAATCGAGGCTAATCAAATGTGCTAGGCTAATCAAGCCAAATATGCTTTTGCAATTTCACCATATTTCATATTAATTTTTCATTTTAGGGGAAAAAACGCTAAAAAATGTGAATGAATTCAATAAATCTTTATTGAAGGAGTCAGTAATTTGCTGACTTAAAAGAATGTCAACATTTAATTTTGTACAATGACTGCCCAAATACACACCTCCCTATGTAAAAAAAAAAAAAAACATTAGTTAAAGTACATTTGAAAATTCAAATCAGTTCAAATTTTTTTATTAATCCCAAATGGAAATTTTATTTAAGTCTGATTTTTTTTAAAAAGAGAGAGATTTATTCATGCAATAAATTAACTGGTTGCTCGTTGGTTTGAAAACTGTTCAGATAAAATGTTCTTCTATTTTTTGTTTTTTAATTTTAGTAGATTTAATGTTTAATTACTGCCATCCAGTGTTAGCCAGAATGTTCCTCTTATAAACACAGACCAAAACTCTATCTTTGCTTATTTATGCATTAATTTAGATTTTAATTAATAAATGGCACACCTTTCCTAAACCTCTTAAGCTCTACAGCTTTTTTTAAGGTTTCTGCTCGAAAATGACATATCCAAAATAAATAGAGTATATCTTTGCATCTACAAGGTCTATTTGAGTAATTTTGGTGTCATAATAAAGGGAACACCTGGGACTTTTGTTCAAGTGTGTAAGTATCAGTATTTATGTCACTAACCCAGAGTAAATTAAGATGGAACACAAGAAAGAATGACATATTTCACTTCCACCTAAAAAACAAACTCACTTTTTCAATGAATATCTCTTTAAAATGATGCAGATGGAGGTAAATATCTATATCCAAGCTTGCACATTGCATAGCTCTGACGTTATATACATTTTGATATTTAAACCTCAACATGCTTGGTGTTTGGGTTGTGTTTGGTGTATGTTAAAATGACTTATATGTGCTTGTAGCAGAGTTCCTCCTGTTTAGTTTGATGTATGGTTTGGCTACATTGGTACACAATTAGTGCAGCATTGTGCATCTTTTGCAGCAGTGAACTCCAAGGTCCCCCTATTGGGGGACCTTGGAGTTCAAGAGGTTAAGCCAATTTTAACCTTAATTCTTTATTTTCAAAACATTTCTTTTCATTGCTGTAACTCTGACAGTATCGAACAACATGTTGTTCAGGGTCCTCCTCTCACATTGAGTGTGACTGTGATCCATTCAAAACGGTTCACTGAAGTAAATGTGTTTAGTCTGAGTTGGTATGTTTACAATGTTCTTTAATGCAAAGCCGGATCTGAAATTTCCATATAAGTTTAATAGCATGCAGTAAAATCAGAGTTATGTTATCTTGGTTATGTAGAAGACTAGGGTAAAAAACATTTAATAATTCTAATAATATCAGATACACAATTTATCTGCAATCATGAGACTCAGAGGACAGATCGATATCACTTCTGGGTTGATTATGTCCTGGTTGTGAGTTTAAAAACAGTGAGATATGCTTTGTGTTTGATGCTAACTGCTATTGCAAATACAAGGCAAAATACTAGTTTATAAAATGCCTATTACTGCCCACAGTACAGTACTATAGCACCAATGCAAGAACTTGCCTGATTTTGAATTTTAGTAAGAAACCATTAATATCACTAGGTATCTGCTCTTAAATTAAATTCTCATTAATTTTGGTATTCTTTTCATTTTATTTAGTGTGCTGATATTTTTTAAAATGATTGTGTTCTGATCCTGGGGTTGATGGATGAGCTCTGCTTTCGCAGTGGAACTTAGGACGCATTATTCATGTTTACGTTCAAGGTTGCAGGAGAAATTAGCAAAAGGGTGATTATATTATGCTAATGGTACAAACAGGCTTCACTCGCATCAACATCTCAGCTTCCCTCACTATCTTTTGCAGGAACCTTTTGTCTGCTGAGCTGTACTTTTTCTAACAAGAGTGATATAAAACATTTAAAGTCAAATTGAGGTCACAACCTAAAGCAAGCATATAACAGTGATAAAAGGACATAAATCTCATTCTGGGATTAAATAGCACAGTTTGAAATCATTTTTTTCATTTTGTTCAATTAAAACTAAGTGCAATGCATGCATCCAGGTACACAGGCAGTTCTTACCACAGTGGGGAGTGATGCTCTCCGATCAACTTGTGTTTTCGAAGGCCGTCTGAAACTGCGTTTCCTTTCTCTGGAATGTCCAGAATCTGATCCGTGACCCCAGTAACTACTCATCCAGTTAGTGAAGTTCCCATCATCATCTTCGTCGTTTTCCATCACGATAGCAGGCAGCAGTCTGAGGGACATGATCAGCGGCCGTGCAAACAGACAGCCTCTTGGCTCAGCAAGTCTAGCAGGACCGATTCAAATGAGATCCCAGCTCACTGGTGCAGAAAGACCACTAACTTAGCTGACCCACTAAGTTATGCCACACAAAACTGTCCCACAGGGTAAGGGTAACTTCTATTAGAGGCCACTAGTGCCTCTGGAAGCTTTCGTCGTTGTTATTTCTGGATAATCCAAAAATAAACAGCAGAGCTTTTACTCAAGTCTTTAAATAAGAGAATCCTCTGTAATCTAATTACCTTTGCTGGCAGAGAGCTTTAAAAAAGGAAACACTGACGACGCTGAGTAACAGCTAGTATTTTTTTTGTCAGTGGGTGGCTGATGCGGCCTCGGCTTTAAATCTTTCCATTACAGTGGCGGGCCTGCGGGTAAACAGCTGAAACTTCAATTTGCCCATACTTTCCACTCGCAGACTGCATCAAACCTGTCAATAATTATGGAGTGCTCGTATCTCTGTCTCCCACAGCGCATGCAGGGCCCGGGGGCTGCCTGTGTCATACAGGACTAACAGGGACAATGTCTCTTCAGAATGAACAATTACAGCTGGATGACAGACTCCCATGCAACAGTTTTGACAAGATCTATACTTTTTTCACTTTAGCTCAATGTGCTCGGAGGGTTTTAGAAACAATTTCCACCTGACAATACACAATTGAAATAAATAAAGAGCAGCTTTAAAGTCATCAGGTCTACAATCAACAGACATAAAAGATTTTTTTCCAGTAGAAGCACTATCATAAACAAAAAAAATGAATGAAAGGGAAAAAATCTGAGAACCTTCTGAAGATTTTTCTTTAATAAACCTTGAAAAATACCCTTAAAGTCCTTTTAAGAGACACCGCAGGTCGTATTTATCAAGCTCTTCACTGTAAGTGCACAAAATTGGTACATGATGGGTGCAAACATATTTGATCTAGAATATGTCAGGCAGAGATATGCTAAATGTGGTTTTCAACTAATAAAAGGGAACCTGGTGCTGATTTCCATTGAAGGACTCATTCTGTACATTGCATAGCCTTTAGTGACGTTCATGCCCTCTATCATTAGAATGCCAGGATTTGTCACAATTTCTTGTGGATTTAATGATTAGTCAACTGAGAACAGAGGCAGATAATCCAAAAATCCTAATATGAAAACAAAGTCCAGAAACAAACAGGAAACCAGGAATCCAAAATCAAAAAATCAAAACAAGAAAACAAGTCAAGACGAACCAGAAACCATGGGGTCATCAGGGGGAATCGCTATCACAAGGAGGAAGTTTGACGAGGACCCAGCAAAGAAGAACCGAACAGAGAGGGTATTTAAGGGGGACTGAGACAAAGAGAGAACTAACGAGTAGATTGGGAACAGGTGTACATAGAGCAGAACAGAAAAGGAGCTAGGGAAAAAGGAGAGCACAAGAGGGCAACAAATAAAAACCTAGAAAACTGAAAATAACCAGAAAACATAACAAAATAAGAATTAAACTACCAAGTCTATAAAACATGGAGCAGAGTAAAACTGAAAACTCAAAAGAAAAAATATAACAGAGCCAAGACTGAAACAGTAACTAAGAATTAACCAGAGAACACAACAAAATAAAAATTAAACCACTTAAACTAGAAAACAAGAAGTAAAGCAAAACTGAACACTAGAAAGAAAACATAACAGAACCAAGACTAAGACAGTTACTGAAAAAAAAACAAAGTACACAATAAACTAAGAATTAAACCTTAAAAAAACTAGAAAACAAAAAGCAAAGCAAAACTGAACATCCAAAAGAAAAACATAACAGAACCAGAACTCTAACAGGATTATTTCTTAAAGTGAACCATAGGAAAGCATGGAGGGTTTAATAGTGAATACCACTTTTATGACTTCAGTTACCTGTGGAGATTGTGTCACTTGAAAAAAACGGAAAATGATTAATAGACGTAATAGATGTAAATGGCATTTTCTGTGTTTAAATGGCTGTAAAACTGATGGTTTTTGTGAAACAAAAATGAAATTTGTTGCCTTAAAGTCTATAAATTATTGTTTAATTTAATCTAGTAAAAATCCAGCTGTTTTTTGAAAGCCGTTAAAGACCATCAGTGAAACCAAAAAAAAATTATGGAGTCGAAGAAGCTTTTTCAATTAAAAAGTTTCTTGGATGGGAAGCGAAAGGTCTTCAAACTTGAAAACAAAGTCCAGTGGATTGCTTTTAATTTTCTTTTTTTTTGAATGACTATGACCTGAATGACTGAGTATCTTCACCAACTATCCGTGAAACTAAGCTGAAAGCAGGAGAAAGGGGAAAATTCATCAAAAAGCATCCATGGTAATTCAATTTAATTTAAAAATACTTTAATAATCCCAAAGGACATTTAAATGTTGCAGTAACTCATACATTATTTTTTCAAACAGGAGTTCTAAGTGTTGATAGTTGTAGGCTTTTATGCCTTTTGGCACCATGTCTCTCCCACAATGTTTACATTTGATCACTGCTGCACTTTATGAATGGAAATTTTCTTCTCACTGCTAAGCTGCTGCTCTTTTACTGTCGGAAAGCTGGATAAATGAAATTTTGTTTTGTATACACTGTGTAGGAAAATACTAACAGAAAACTAGACAAAAGATCTGTCAAACTTAACACAATGGAAATAAGTAAATACATAAAACTATATTGATTATAAATAAACAACATGGTTAATTGATGTTAACACATCTGAAAATCAAAACCAAAAGAGGTAATGATCAATTAATGAACAAGTAAGGTTCTTACAAAACCCTACTTACTCAGCTGTTTTTTAGCAACCCTGGAAATAAATAAGTAATTACTTCTATACATATACAGCATCAATATGCTGACATATGCAATATGCCTTTAAGTTTGCATGAATCCCAAGTATTTAAATAAGATATGGAAAGCTTTGACCAAAAAATGCTTGTTTTTAAGTCCTTACAGATGATTAAAGTGATGTAATTTAACATAAATCAAGAATTGTCCTCTCTCCAAATGAAGGGATCTTCTTGGGAAACAAATGTATCCATAAAATACTCCTTAAAAAGAGCCTATAAAGCCTTACGGTCCACCTGTATTGTGACAAAGTAAACTAAATTCTAGATCATTTCTTTCAGAAGTTGATTAAAATATGGACTGGGAGTAAATGGATTAACATCTTTAACTTCTTTCTTTCAGTGAAAATCTCATTATTCCTGTTCTAGAAATTAAAGTGAATGGAGATAAGGAGGTAGAATTCCTTTCCCTTTACGTGGGAGAAACATAATCTGGCCCGGAAAATCTGAATTGCTCATTCAGTTAGAACAAAACGCCTCTGAGCTGAGACTGCAGACATCTAAATATAGGACCAAGCACCTATAAAAGAGGATTTTTTTCCCCTACATTATCTTTATTTCCAACGTGACTCTAGGAGAGCAGGACTAGTCAGGGCATGTAGGCTGATGAGACATGCTGGATCCCTCCAAAACCTCCAGTAAGCATCAAGATTACAGTAATCTGCTTTTATATCAAAGATGGAAGTCAGTTACAGTCAAACTGAGCAGCAATGGGTTCTCACACAAACTAGAAATAAATGAAAACATATATGTCTTCAAACCTTCTTTTACCTGAATATGCCTAGCATTCAAATCACCTAATAATGATTGAATTAAGTTTTTTTTAACAGATGGACCACATGGTGATATTAAACTGCAGATCAATGAAGTATAAATCCTTCTTTTAATAGATTTTATGAATATTGAACAAATAAACATCATACTCGTGAACAGATATAAATCTGTAAAATAACTTGAAACCAGAAGCTTTATGAGCATGAAAGTTATATATATATATATATATATATATATATATATATATATATATATATATATATATATATATATATATATATATATATATACACTATATATTTGCACACACAGTCATGTTGTTGCAACAAAAAATGTAATGGTATTTTATGTGAAGAAAACCTGGCTTCAAAATATTTTGAGGTATCTTTATTATTCCCTCTTTATTTGGATACCCCTAAATAAAATCTAGGGCAAACAGTTGTCTTACTTTTTCCCCGTAATTGGGTAAATGGAATTCATCTATATGTTACCTAATCTCAGAATAGGTAACATTAGTAAACCGTCTCGTTAAAACCTCATAAAAATCCAGAGGTGCTCGACGTGGTGCCGCAGCTGTGCTGTGGTCCCTATTCATGCATTCCACAATTCTGACTTTTATTTAAAAGAGTGTAAGAAAGAGAAAGCCCCTTTTGTAGGAAAGGCAGAAGAAGTGATGAATGCATTTTAAGAAGGGCCATGTGTTGCACTAATGTAAGCTAGGGGACCCTCCTCACAGTGAAACATAATGGTGGTGGTGTCATGCTATGGGAATGTTGTCCTTCATTAGGGACGGTGAAGCTTGTAAGAGTTAATAGGAAGACAGATGGAGCTAAACAAAAGGGAGGAGAGGAAAAATTATTTCACAAAACAAGTTGCTCTACAGGACATTGGCTGGGAAAAGGGTAAATAAAAAAATCCTTTTTACATTTTTCATAGTTTTATTTTTTTTTAACCTGATGCAATAGTCCAGGCTTCCTTCCTTCCTATTTAATTTAAAAAGCATTTGATTTTATCTTTTTAGGATATATGACATAATAACAAGAAACCATTATGGATTTCAGGATATTAATTAAATTCATCATGTTGCTGCATCTCTGAATAAAACTTGATTCATTTTTTACTGTCAAGTTTCCTGAGGTTACATTTGATGTGATTTGTTGCTTAACACAAACTAAAATACGATTAATTGAATGTAAAAACAAAATAAATATGGAAACCATGTATCAGATTATTGATTGATTGACTTTATTGATCTCACAGTGGAGATCAATAAAGCTCAAATAGTCAAAAAGAGAAGAAGAAGGTGCCAAAGGAAGAAATATGTGCATGGGATATATACAGTATATACAGTGTGTCCAGATATTATTTATTTTTTTTATACAGGATTACTGCACGGGGTGTTTACATGGGTATTTATATAGATATATATATATATATATATATATATATATATATATATATATATATATATATATATATATATATATATAGTTATTGAACTGTGTGTCAAATATAAAGAAACAGGTTATTGCACAGGGTATTAAATTGTAATTGCACAATATACAATGCACAACTTATTGCCATTGTAGTGTCGCATTGTAGAGTCTGGTGGCTGCAGGGATGAATGACCTGCTTTTACAAACAGGGTGTAAAAGTCAAAGGACCTTACAGCAGATTAATACCTGCTTTCAACAATAAAATAGTTTGTGTTGAT